GGGGCCGTCTGATTCAAATCCAAGATTTGAGCAGGCAATACACACTTCAATTCCACAGGAGAAAAGGCGTTTGTGCATGTTCCAAGAAGGTCACATTTTGCAGCTCCAAGATTGACAGAGCAGCTTGCCGTTCTTTTTTTCTTCTGACATTTTACCCACAGTCCAAGAGCGATACGGGCAATGCCCTGTCAGCATGGATTCTCAACCCATTGAGGTGCCTTGTAGCCCCTCTCACGGTTCTTCCCATTCGCAATTCAGTCTTTGACAAACAGGCAATCTTCATCCGAAGCACTCTCAGAGGGTTGAATATTGATTGGTGCTTCACGACTGAAGCCTTGCAATGGATGGAGTTGAAGCTTTGGCGCGTCCAAATGCCCTTGATTCTGAACGAACTAGACTCTTGAAGCAGGCAGGAGTTGTGGACAACTTAACGACAAACAAAACGATTTGCCATTGACTTGCAAGGTGTTGCAGTCATCGTCCCGGCTGCAAAGAGAGCTTCGAGTAACACTGGGGACACCAGCACCGAAGGCATCCAAATTTAGCTCTTTTGACCCCACAGCGTCAAAACCCAAGGACGGGCGTCCGCTTTTGCATGCTTTTCTTTTGGTCAAATCACATTACATTTGGAAAAGATGTGTGGAATGAGGAGTCTAAACTGACTTTTTTGCTTGCGCTTACTGTAATGGCTATCAAAGTCAAGCGCCGTTCTTACCATATCATTTGCTTAAGAGACAGCTTTAACGAGTCTAGATCTCCGTGTTTGAGGAGCAGCTACCCTCAGATCGCATAGCCTCATCCTCTCTGAAAGACAGGCTGCAACTTTGCGCGCAAGGCCCAAGCCTGTCGACCTTGCGATTCGTAAATGCTGTTGGCTGTTACCCAGGAAACAATTTACGGTTGCAAGGGCAAAGTGCCGAAGCTGAAGTGACCCTGGCAGGTCATTCAGAGATTTGTGAGGATTGTGATGCTGGGGATCTTGGCCGTGAGATGTCTCCCGTCTTGAAGTCTTGCGGAGAAAGAATAGGCAGTCTCTCTGGAAAGATTTTCTCCTTGGAGGCAGGCAGACCCAGTGGATGATGCTCGCTGTGCAAAGCAGTTGAACGACAGTTCAGAGAAAAGTAGGGGCCTGTATAAAGGTCCTCAAGTAGACAGAACCAATGTCCCAGATATTTTTCTAGGGGGTTCACCAATTTCCACGGCTTTCATTCCTTTCCATGTTGGGGTCACTGTAGTTGTTGATGGTCTTGTTGTGGCAGGATCAGTTGACCCTTCGAGGCGGTGTTTTACCCCAGCGAGAGGACGGTGGACTTCGTCGACGAAGAAGCATGAGTAGCTTCGAGCTACTAGTATATAACAAGTGCATTACTATTACTACTTAGTAGCAAATAGCTACTAGTAACTTCTAGCTACTAGTAGTAATGCCCTTGTTTCTAGTAGCGATGCCCTTGTTACTACTAACTTCTTGCTACTACTGTAGTAGTCATGTGATGTGGCGCTTTTGATTTGACTCCGGGAGGAGGATAGCAGCCTTGCGATCGAGATCATTCCTCACGGCCAACAGGTCGGGATTGGTGCAATTGAAAAGAAAGTATAAGAGGCAAGAGGGTTGCAAACACACCAACTTAAACAAACGCATCACAAACACATCACAAGTAAGGAGCAACATCTCAATTCAGATGGCCCCACCGTTATCACTGGTTTTGCGAGGGACCAAGGCGCCTCGTTTTGGCGCCCAAACGACAGGCCTCGGCAGCGACGCGCCAGAAGGAAGAAGCGGCGGACCGAGCGCTGGCCTCGCACGCGCGTTTTGCATCGCTCGAGGCGAGAGATTTCGGGTGATGGAAGGGCCGTGGACATGTGCAGATTTCGTTGGCTTTGCGGTTGGCCATCGGGGGAGGGCGTTGATATAACATGATATAACGGCTCAAAGTTTCGGTGCGGTGGATTTGGAGAACTGCCATGAGAACAACCATTTTCAGGAATTGCAAGAGAACTTGCAGAAGCATGCATCCTCGTATGATGATTTGATGCTTGGCAAAGCAAGAGGATCGTCTTTCTCATGACTCGTCTTGGCCCCAGCAGAGCTTTGACTAGTTGGACCAGCCCAATCATACCAGGCGACAACTGTTTCCACGACGGCATCGTTGGAATCCGAACCTGTACTTATTGACAGATGAGACGCTTAAGAACCCCCACGAGTTCAAGGCCTGGACCGCTTGCAGTATGCATTCGCATCCATTTATATATGATCATTTATGTACGGTTTTTAAGGATTAAACAAAAAACGCGCTTTTCTTATCGCATTTAAGTGCTTTTTTTTGGCGCAACCCACCTTTATCGGTTCTTGCGGCTTTCATGAGTCTTTGGGCCTTTCATGGCCCAAATCGACAGGAAGCGGTGTGGCGAAAACTCCCAAAGGCAACTGGGACCGGGAAAGTCAGACAGGGGCTTTCCATGGCTTTCCTTTCACCCATAGTCAGTCTATCATACTAACAGCGATGGCCTCCACCCTAGTAGCGATGGCCTCCAACCTAGAAGCTTCCATTCACCCATAATCACTGAGCTTGAGCTTTCCATTCACCATAGTCGGTTATCATACTCCGATGGGACAAGTTCCAAGCTGGCTGCCCTTGCAATGATGACAGTTTCAGTCCCAAGTTGCCCGTTTTGGCTAAATTCTCATGATCGGAAGGGAGATGTAGATTACTTTCAATTTTCCCTGTTTTGACACTGAAACAATTTGGACAACTGGCTCACTGGGTGTGAATCAGTCAAGCTATCAGATTGACAACAGGTTATATGAACCTCGCAAGAATTATATATAATGACTCAACCAAACACTCAGTCAATGTTTGTCTGACACTCAGTCAATGCTGTCGGGGGTTTCCTTCGAACCGGGTTGCCGGGCCCTGCGGGGATTCTGTTGGTCCTGCAGGAAGAAGATGACATACACCGCAATAACACTCGTGGCAGTGTTCGTTGGCGGAGGATTGCAGCTTTGCCGTTGCCTCCAGTTGTTTGCACAAGACTTTTGAAAGTATCAAAGGTAGGTGGATAGGGTCAAACTTGTGCACTTTGCTTGTCACCGCAAATGGGGTTGGGACAATCATTTCGAGTATGACTCATTTTCACAGCGTTGTTGAGAGGAGTGGTTCTCCGAAAAGAGCGGGCAGCAAAAGAGTGGGCAGTAAATTTTAACGGTCAGACGACACCCGAACTGGTCCATGATCGATAGATCGGTTCGTCGCGACGCTTTTCCCTTTGAGAATCGCGAACCTGATTCCTCGGAGTGGCTGCAAACAGTCTCACCTCACCATGTGCACTCGTCCAAGACAAGTGCAATGTGCATAAGACAGCACATGTTTGAGGAGCAAGCTGTGCGGTTAGAACATCGAGAAGCGGTTGTGTGACTTCAGTGAGTCAAGGTCAAGCCGCGCCGTTTAGAATCCAAGTTTAGAGATGTCTAAAGGATGGCTATTCCACATTTTTGCAGCCCAAGTGTGGAACATTGACATCGGCAGACGATTCGCTTGTTTGGTTTTTGGGTCAGCCCTCATTCCAGTCATCCGATTGCCAAGCGGGCTCGACTGCGGAGTCTAAGACCGACGCGTTTGATTCATTTCCATCATGGGTCCAGGCCTCAGCGTCCTGACTTGGAGATCGGATCTCCATGTCTTGAGATACTACCGTCTACTGACTCCTAGTAGTAGCGTCCTTGCTCCTCCAGCTGCATGAAGACTATACTGACTATACTCAGAACATCTCAGAACAATAATAACACGTCCTATATTTTGGGGGTGGAGGAATATTACGCCATCTTGTACTGGGGCCCTATAGTTATCCCTGTAAGTGGGTGCCTAGGATTACCTAGGTGTGGAGCTTTTCTAGTTTGAAGAGGTCTACGTCGTTTCTGCAGAATTTCTGTTCCTGATTCCTAACTAGTAGCGTCCTTGCTCCTAGTAGTAAGGCCAGGAGCCCCTAGTAGCTTCTTGTTCCTAGTAGTAAGGCGAGGAGCCCCTAGTAGCTTCCTTGCTCCTAGTAGCGATGCCCTTTGCTTTTTGTTGCTCCGAAGCAATCCAGTCCGAGATCCACCAAGCGCATCAGGTCAGATGAGCCGCCTGCAGAAGACGAACACCTCTGAGGCGCCCGGCCGAAAACGATGCCCCAGTGCAATGTGTGCCGTGAATGAACGGCGAGTCGTTCGACCTGCAGACAAAGTCTTTTGCCAGGCTCCGATGTCGAGAGAAAAGCAGACTTTGTTTGCGAGCTGCCGAGATGGATCCAGCTATTGCATTCGGATTTGGGATGGATTTGCAAAGAAAAAGGGGGTTTCATGGACCTGGGCGAGAGAAATGGTCCCTATTTTCGACGAGCCGCCCATGTGTTCGAAGCCCCCAAGGTCGGACAATTCCGTAAAACGAAGCTCTGCCGCTTCCATGAGACGGGCCGCGCTGGCAGAGCTTCGCCCTAACCGGTTGTTCTTCATTTAGTTGCGATACAGCTGCTATGTGTTTGGCCAGTGGAAAGTCCACCGTGGTCTCAAGCCAGGGCGTTGCCGGTACGCTGACAAGTGCCCCTTTGCACACAGCCCCGAAGAACTTGAGGAGCCTTCATTCATGCTGAGTGAGATGCACATGCCCACAAAGTAGACGCAAATTTTGTTCCAAAAGACTCGAAACACGTGCTAGCACTTCAACAAGTAATTCACAGATGTCCATGACCTGGAAAGAAGAAAGCAAGCGCGAGAAGTGTCAACTTGCAAAAGGAGTTGCCTGATCTGCGGAAGACATCAATCTGCAAGTGCCAGACTTATTTCACACTTGAGACGCCACGCTTGATATGGCTTTTCGCCAGTCGAAGCCACCAACTTTCAACTGGATCAGTGGCACCACTCCTTTGAGCAAGGAACTGGCAGCAGGGATGCTGCACCTACTCCGCTGATCGCTGCATGTTTGCACATGGGAAGGAGCGGCACCATGAACACAGTTGAAGTTCAAAGACCGAGATTTGCATTGTTATATGGGTCTTTCACAACGGCCAGGGTGACCAGGGTAGCTTCGCTTTTGCTGCTTTCAGAATCAACATATTAGTTACATTTCCCAAAAGACATCTAGGAACCAAATCATTAGTGCGAGCGCTTCGTCAAGGAAGCTCCCCCCGCCCTCAGGCGGGCGGAGCTTCCTTGAAAAAGCGTGAGCTATTGCCTAGTAGCTTACTAGTCCCGGAGGGGGGGGAGCGGGCTAATAAAGATGCACGTCTAAAGTGGAAGGCCCCTCTCGGATCAACTTCGATGTTGCGCAGGAAGAGCTTCGCAAGACACCACCCTTCGGCCGAAAGAAGTCACAGGCGCTCTCGACAGCAGACGTGTGCGTTGCTGCGTTGCTGGTTTTTACATTTTCTTTTGCTCCCCACCCTACAGGGATATTCTTTGGGGTCTTTGTTGTAAGTATTTCCAAGTCACCTCACATGTTTGCTCGAATGCTTTGCTTTGGAAGACGGACTTAGGGTGCTTGGACCTTGCAGCATTGGCGCACCGTTGCGCCTACTCCCTGAGGATCTGATCGACCGCAGGGACAGCTTTGAAGGCCGCTTTGGATAGAGATTTTTTTAGGCCCGTGGCGTACCCCCCCTACTGCTTAATTAAGTAGAGACTACCCACTTCAGGGCCAACTTGTACGCCCCTAGCTACTGGGCACTGGATAGCTCACGCTTCTTCAAAGAAGCGTGAGCTATCCTGCGTCCATGCCTAGAAGGTAACTTAGCCTTGTGGCCTACTCCCTTACTACTTAATTAAGTAGAAGGTTCCTGCTGCCGTTTTTTCACATCTTCCTTCACGCCTTCTTCAGGCAGCGATGCTTATGCGTCCACATCGGATGGCTATCACGGATCCTTTGAAAGCGACAGGCAGAGATGATACAGACCTTGATCAGAAGTGTCAAGAAGTGTCAAGAAGTGCCAAGGGTGACATGACAGACCCGACTTCGGCCATAACCTTGTTGGTGTTAGCAACACATGGAACACGGAACCCCTATTTTTCTGGGAGTTTTTTTTTCCGCGTTTTTTTTTTTCCCCTACTGCTTTTGCTTTTGCTTTTTGCTTCTGCGTTTGCTTTTTGTTTTTGCTTCTGCGTCTGCTTTTGCTTCTGCTTTTGCTTTTTGCTTTTGCTTCTGCATTTGCTTCTGCTTTTTGCTTTTGCTTTTTGCTTTTCCTTCCGCTTTTGCTTTTTGCTTCTGCCTTTGCTTTTGCTTCTGCTGACTATCTTCTTTGCATTGACACTGCCACAAAGTTGGATGATAAGACCTTCACCTTGAGCTTTGACACCCAATTACACCAATCAAGAAACGAAGCAGCCCAGCGCTGTCTATATTTGATTTGCATTGCGGGGGAGGCGCTGCGCCCTACCCCTACTATTTCCAATACCTCTATCACTCGGACCACCCCGCTACGAGTCTTACCACAGTTACCACAACGACTATTTTCTTGGCGTTGACGCTGCCACAAAGGTGGATTTCTACTTTGCTTAGTCCAAAGAAACCCGAAATCACTGAAGCCCAAAGACAACCGCAGAGAAGTCTCTATTATAATAGTTCCTCTCTCCTCTTTCCTCATTCCTACTTCTCCTTTGTTTAGTGGGATGCCTTTTCCGGAAGAACGCCTAAAGAAACCCTAAAGACAAGAAACCGAGCCCAAAGAAACCCGAAACCAGTGAAGCTAAAGACAACCGCAAAGAAGTCCCTAGTAAGTGGAATACCTTTTCTGTTCCCTCCCTTTGTCACTGTCACGCTGGCTATGGTGCTTCGTCCCCTGCCCTTTCTGCTGCTCCTAGTGCTTGTAAAGCACTCCCAGCAGAAGCAAAAGCAAAAACAGTAGGGGAAAAACCGTGAAACAAATTCCCGGAAAAACCTGAAAGAAACTCCCGGAAAAAAATGTCTATCCATGGAACACCAACAGTTTTTTCGGTACGTCAAACGGATTTTCTTGTTTTCTTGATTGTGTGGTTTCACGGAGAGCAGAGGCAATCCTCTTCAAGCTTCGATGAAGAACCGACAACTCCGTCACGGACGACCCGCCATGTTCTTCCAATGATTTGACGATGTTTTCAAAAGATTTGAGCAGACGGAATCTGCCAAATTGATTTGGAACTAACGGTAATAACGTGTTGCTTAAGAACTTTGCGGTCCTTCTGGGGCCCTGTGCAAAAGTCCAGACTCTGACCACTTGGCCTGGCCGATGGGTTCAAGCGCTTTTTGAGGAACAGGATCTCAGATGATCTCAGCTGATCTGGTGAATTAGCGGTGAATTAGCGAGGTGAAACTGGCTCATTCATGGAGTTTAGGACCGACTCCGGGAAACGAGGACACCAGACTACACAAGCTTTCCACACCACCTCTCCACCATTCTTCACCTCTCTACCGAAGCAAAGAGACACATGGCTACCGAACCAGGAACAGGTCCGTTGGGTCCATTGGTTCCTCATGGGGAAGGCAACAGCCTGATGGAGGGGCCGCCCATTGTTCTGGACAATGGTTCTGGAACCATCAAGGCTCGCGAAACTGTAAAATACAAACTGATTTCCGTGGATTGCAACGACTTCCAGCAGCCCACCTTTCCATTGAAATGACATTTTGGTTTGCCCTTGCTTCATCCCAGCGAAATCGACATGCAAAACTGCTAACAGTGACAATGACGGCACATGCACCATCATCCGAACTGAAGAGAGGCAAAGTCGAAGGAAGACCACCATGAGAGTCCATCAATTGCACTAAGCTTACATCGAGAGTCTGTCAGGTTGGATTTGCCGGGGAGTGTGAGCCAAGGGCTTCCTGGCCGCAGCTTGGGACCCTTCCAAAGATGTTTTTGTGTGTTTTTGTTTTTAAAGACCGGGGGGGTAGGCCGCTAGAGGTAGGTAGTAGAAGCTAGGTAGCTAGTAGCTTAAGTAGCTACTAGTATGGACGCAGGATAGCTCACGCTTCTTCAAGGAAGCTTCCCCCGCCACCCTAAAGGCGGTGGGGGAAGCTTTGAAGAAGCGCTCGCACTGATGATTTGGTTTCTGGATTTTTAGGGAAACTTAACATTTGTTGGCTTAAAGCTTCAATCCTTGCCATCGGTTGGAGCAAGCTAGCTTGTGAACGATTCCTTGTGCAAACACTGGATTTGTCGGCACCAAATCCAGAAAAACGGTTATTCCAAGACAGGTGGTTCACGACAATGTCTTCACGGCACTGCGAGCTTCTCGAAATGTTCCTGGGGGCGAGGCCAGCAATCCAAAGAGGTATCTCAACTTAGTTTCGAGTCGAGGTATCAAATTGGTTGGCGCCAGAACTTATGAGAAAACAGCAATGGATTCTAGTAGTTCTAGTCGGCCACAGCAGCAACTGAACGATGGGCAACATCAAGCCATTCTGTAGTCATTATGCAAGGATGCTGTCAGAGGTGAAGTGGCTTCGCAGCCACCTTGAAGTACAACTGGCAGCAATGCAACGCATTTCCAATGCATTGCCAACGCCGGCTTTTTTGCAGGACTTTGCCAAAGCGCTGCAAGCCAATACTGCCAGGCTTTCAACATGATCAGTTTAACTTATCGTCGACTTGTCAACCTGAATTTGGGTCGAATGGCCAGGTTTCCAGTCATGGACCACGGCATTGTCTCTCAGTGCACTTCTTAGCATTTTGGGAGTTTGCTATACCAAATGAGAGCATGAATGTGCACGAACCTTAACAGTACCAGGAAGCATGAGACGTGGATTAATCCGATCGTCGCAAGACGCTTCCAACATGTAACACCATCCAAGTTTCGAATGCCTTTCCAACTGGCCTGATACATTCTCATCATTTCGCTGGCTTTCCCGGTCTTCCTGGTCAATCCTGGGACTGCGAAGACAACGAGGTGGGAGGGTCTACTGGAAGTCATAGAAGCAGCATTGGAAGAAATGAAGGCCGTGCTGGCAAGGTTGTTTGGGCGGAAGGGTGGAGGGCACGGTTTCACAAAAAAGAAGAAGAGGATGTTGAAGGAGAAGACCAACTGTCACCCTCGAAAAAGAGGCTTTCAACATGTGTTTTTGGACAGTGACGTCGTGACGTGGCAGGCTGATGCTAGCAAGCATCCAGTTCTCCTGACGGAGGCATGCACATTGTAGTTCTCCAGTCTGGATTTCCAGTCGGCGAGGTCAGTCGGTAAGGTCATAGTAAGGTCACCTTCACCAGTCATAGTGAGGTCATAGTAAGGTCAGGCCAACAGTCTTATTTTCCCTTAGTCTAGACTGCCTGGATTGGAGAACCTGTTGTTTGGTGTGCGCCCAGATGTTCGCCCCAACAAATTCGGACTCGCTGAGGCCCCGTTGAACCCCACCGTTCATCGAGAGCTTTTGGCATCGAACTCAGTACTTCGACTGTTTGCTCCACAAATTTGCTGAAATGATCAACTGTTTGGCATCGAACTCAGAAGACCAAAGGTGGAGAGGTTCTTCGAAGAATTGCATGTTCCCGCGCTCCAGGCGCAACGGGAGAGCGCGATGGTTGGTCGTTGCAGAGCGTTGCAGCACGTGCATTTTGCTTTTTGTTCGGTTTGAATTATAGGGATGGAACAAGGGTTAGCCCTTGTGGTTCCTTTAGAATCGGAAGGTGGCCGGGCAAGACGATCGAGGTTCTACCAGTGACCCGGTTTGGTCCGCCGGAATCGGTGGCAGGTGGTGCACTCCGGGGCCCTGGCGCTCTATGCGACCAACAGTCGCCACCAAGCTGAATGTCTGACCGGAAAACCATCTTCATCCTTGATGGTCATCCTTGTTCATTTACATGTCCAAATGCCATCCAAGATTTATCGATATGCTTTTTCTCGTTCCTCCTCCACATTTCAATTTGATACGTGCTGGCTGGGTGGTTGAGGAACTGGACTCGTCATAGAGGTTGGCGATGGCGTGGCACAAACTGCCCAGTCCCCGGAATTGGATCGTGAGTGTCAAGTCATTTCACTGTTCATTTCGGATGTCCAAGAACTGATCTGTTCCAAGAACTGATAGGTGCCGCTCTACGACAGCTATGTGATCTTCAACGCCGTGAAGCGCCGCGACTACGGCGGACGGGACTTGACGGCCTACTTGGGGGAGCTGATGAGTAAGGAGATCAACCACCGACCTAGCTCCAGCGAGGCGCGTTTGGGATCGGTGTGAGGAAAACAAACTGCGCGGCAGTGATTTGGCAGCCAGAACTGCCAGGTCGGATGGAGGGCATGGAAGGAGGTGAAGGACTGTGGAGTCAGTTGAAAGGGTCCCGTGGAGTTTCACCAGCTTTGTTTTGTGAGGAGTCCATGTGCAGAGTGCGCCACAAGAACCCTGTGGAGGCTGTGATAGAGATGAAATGGAAGGTTTGAAGGTTGGACTGGAGCTTCTTCCGATTCGGCGCTAATATTTTTCAGCGCAGGAGGCCTCGAAGCAGCTCTCGTTCTACTTGCCTGATGGCAAGGCTGCGCAGAATTCGCTCTATCTCTAAGTCAGCATGGCCTGGCATTACATGGACGACAGTCTAACCACGCCATGCATCGTTGCACCTCTTCAGGTGGTCACTCGAGATTCCGAATGCCTCACCAAGTGCGTCGATGCGCTGATCTCAGAGTGAGCACGAAGTGGCACGGACATGAATGGCATGAATCATGTGGCGAAGCATGTTCACAAAAGCCAGCAGTAGGCTGGGCGTAGTCGAAGTGAGATAAGGGGTTGGAGGGGGGGGAGAGGCCCAAATATGTTGATGATGCGCGGACGAGTGGTCGGATTCATGGATGAAAGAGGAAAGTTTGTGGATAGGTCCTGAATGGCTATGCAGGTGGGTGGATGGATGGATGGATGGATGGAAGTATGGAAGGGGAGGACAAGTCAGAGAGAGATAGAGAGATGAAGTAGATGTGGATAGATGGATGTGTGTAGAGCTGGAGAGAGGTTGCCAACAGAAAGAGAAGTGGGGGAGATAGGACCATAGAGATATGGAGAGATTCAGAGAAGAGGAAGTATAGATGTGTGTAGGTTGTGGTGGCAAACAGAATTAATGAGTGGGTGAATAGGCGGCTGGATAAAACCAGAGAGGGGGTGAGATAGGCGTTTTGCTTTTGTTTTTATCGAGTTCTTCATAGCCCAACAAAAAGAGGACCTCTTATGGCGCCAGTGAGCGATGGCAATCGAAGCTTTCGCTTCACTTGTTAAGTGTGACTGTTTACGACTTCGGGTTGATGAACATAAGGGGTCAGGCATCTAGCTACATTTCAATTCGCCGGTATGACTATACTTGATGCTTCCAGCTGCAAAGGATGCTCAAAACAATCACCTGCGCGCCGGCCTTGCAGACACTGGCTTTTGTACCCTCCCTTCCCAGGCTTTTTGTTTATGGGTTTATGGTCCGGTTGCGAGTTTTTGTTGCCCTGGAAATAGCCCTCTTGCAAGAGATGCCACATGCCACACGCCACTGCCCGAGACATGGAATGCACGAAGAACCTACTGACTTCCTGTTTGGAAGTGGCTCAAGTCAACCCGACTTCGAGTGACGGACGGGGACTGCTTGACAGTCCCTTGATTCGATGGTAACAATATATTTCTTCATGCGATATCCTCATATGACGGATCATGTGACGACCAATCGGAGTAGTCCTTTGTTTCCCTCTTGAACATTGCAGGCCTTGTTTGAACCTGCTCGCCTTCTGAAGCGCGATGAGGAGGCGGGAGACCGCCTCCAGTGACGGACGAGGACCGGGTGTTTTTGAAGCTGGTCAGGAGCAGGGCATCCACAAGATGGCAGCTGAGAGTATTTTGGAAAGCGGTCATGAACCAAGCTCGGTGTGCTCAGCATGGTTATCAATGTTTAATCATGGATAGAAAAACCGAGGTCGAGATACGCAAAAAGCGCTCGCGGGCAACATTGTCCGACGCTTTGGGACCGACCTTTCGACTTCTTTCGATGAAAGCACCATGACTTTCATGGTATATCCAAGATTCTCCAAGAATATCTGAACCGATCTGAACGATTTGCTCAGGTGCTCTCCGGCGGGTCCATGTCATTTCCTGGCATGTGTCATCGTGTCGAGGAGGCCCGCCTACCCAGGTTTGACTTTGCAACCGCTTAGCACTTGGCATTGCAGAGTCAGAGGTGTCAGAGGTTGTTTTGAACTCTTTGCCAGTGCCACACCGCTGTTTCACTCAAGCACAGGAGCTGCAGAAGCTTCTCCCCACAACGGTCAAGGCAGCAGTCAAGTTGGTGAAAAGCCCTACGCGCGGGGTCCTGGTGGCAACAAGTGGATCCAATATGAACTTATAATATAATAGGAATGGCCTCATAGCGATGGCCTGCAACCTAATAGCATTTGCATGCATGTGCTCAGCTTTTCTTGAGCATTGCCTCGTCCCTTCATGATCCAATTCCAAGTATGACCTTCATCTCCTGGCCCTCCAAACCCCGACGGCGTCGCAGACGATGGTGTCACATCGCTGACAGCCCCGGCCGAGCCCAGGTACGCTGCCTTCACTGGCGGATCAATCGTGGCTTCCATGCCAGACCTGCTGGATACCTTCATGACCAGAAGCGAGTCATTGTCTCAGGGAGACGGATCTTAAAGACAAAAATGCGGATCTCGTCCTCTCTCTCTCTCTCTCTTCTTTTTTTAGCCCATGGCCTCCTTACTTAATTAAGTAGGCGCCATGATTCACTAGTTGCCAGTTTTGATCCCTTATAGACCTCACAAAGAATGGTTTGCCTCATTGGCTCTGGGTGAGTGGATCACTGAGGTATGAGGAGCATGGTGCTGCCTTCATCCACAAGAAAAGCGTACGGCTGACGCAGCCGCCAACCATGTCCTGAACAAGAAGAACGTGCAATAAAGCTCAACAATGCAAAACGTTTCAAATATTTCAAACAGGATAACCAGCTGAAGACCCCAGGAGCAAAACAATGCAAACATGCCGTAGGTGTAGTCCAAACACAGCAGAAAAGGCTACTTGCTCAGCCCCATGAGCACACATATGCTTTATCAACGAGGTCACCACGCAACGAAGCATTGTCACAAAGCGTTTCACCGGAGCGGGGCAAAAAAGCTTTGGGGATGGCTGCAGGGCTTGACTGGGGACTGCTGCGGTGTCGCCCAGCGCTGAACAGCTCTTTGCGGCGCATCTTGGATCGGCTTTGGTCCTTTAGGTCAGTTTCTATCTTGGGCTGGAACTTGAAGGGGGGCAACAAAGCAACTTGAGACACTGAGCATCATTGAGCCATGGAAACACGGCCAGGCAACTTGCTTGGGACCCACTTGGAATTGGCGAGCAGGCATGGGATGCCAGTTACGCAAAGCTCTTGAGTTGCCGAGATGTTTAGCCATCTGGAATTGAGACTTCTATGTTAGGGAAAGGGTATTGGGTGTCTTCATCTTCAGGTGCGATTCCTGTCGGCTGGGTGCTCAGAATGACCATCGGCCAAGAGTAGACAAGCGAAGCCCCCACGACGAATCAAACACCGACCTTTAGACATTGAACGTCCACTGGCAACGTCCAACAATTGAACGCCTAAAACAAGTGCATCAGATCGCTTCTTTGGCTGATTCTTCATTCTCTCGATGGTTGTGCTTTCTCAAAGTCTTGTCCTTTCTGAGTTCAATCCTGATGAGAAGTGGCAACGTGGAGGAGCCTCGCTTGTCACGGAAGCACTGAGAACAGCCAAGCTGATCGGGCGTGATGTAGCTGGGAGAACTTGTGGAAAGAGGAAGTCGGGGGAAGTTGCAATTCCTTGCAGTAGTATGTATATATTATAATCATATATACTAGTACAACAGGTAAAGGAACCAAACAAAATCATTGTCATGGTCTCTAGGGCTCTTTAATGCTCTTTATACTATATATATATATAGTGACATATAACGTTTATATAGATATGTTTAGGCGGTGAGCCTGACTTTTGGCGCGATTTGTGCGGGAGAGGAACGCCGCCCTTGATGGACAACAACTGCCTACCAAGGACTGTGCTCCTGGGTTTAAATTTTCAAGTCAGTCTGGAGAATTTGTGTGTGTTGGCGGTGCCTTTTCTTGGTTTATGTCAAAGTTGCCATGCGCACATTGTTGGATTGTCACTGGCGTGAAGCGCCATGATGTGTCAAGATGATGCTGGCGGTGTCCCAAACGGAAAACGTGCACAAAAAACATACAGGATCATAAAGGATTTCACGATGGAATAGAGGATGACAGAGATCCTAGACAGGACAGGATATGATCACATGGTGCCAAGCGCAGTTGGCTTCCCGCTCAGAGTGTTGCACTAATTAGGATGAGAGTGAGACACAACCACCATGACTAATTTTGCATGTCTGTTGCATGTGGCCAGTGGTGTTTCCTGATTAGCTGAGCCGTTTCACGCGAGGTTTGTCAGACCTCATGAGTGGCAGTGCTCCGGCCATGGATTCATCCTCAGAAATATATATATGTATAGATGTTCTGTGCAAGCACTGGAAGTGAAAAGTCTCTGACAGCTGGGCCTGACTAAGTCTGAGGTTCCTGCTATGGGCCAGATCGTACTAATGCCAGCGATTCCACCTGCTTGAGCCTCGGAGAGCAGCCACTTTCCAAGATGCACATGTTTGTAGACATGCCCTCATCACGATAGTCATGAGTGACTTAGTTCCACTAGCAAAAGAATGGGAATCGTCCAGAAGTCAAACGACTTGATTACTTCACTGAAGGGACTTGACCCATGTAGACTTTTGCTGCAGGCAATGTGGGATGGATCCGCTCCGTTTGCTTCTGGAAAAGAACTTGAAGAAATGCTGAAGCAGGCAGGGAACAAAGGGAACCCTCCCGAGACATTCAAAACTCAATGGATTGCGTGGAGGGAACTTTTTAAAGCACACCATGGGTTTCACATGGTTTCACCCTCCAAACCTACGGGTTTCCTGTCAATTTGTCCCTTAAACTTAAAACAATTTGAACACAGGACGGTGGAACAAAGCCTTGTGTTTGGGCCTAGTTCAACTCGGCCGAGGCGATGCCGACACATTACGACGATTAAGACAAGCAGCTCTGGAAGGTGCCCGGTGGAACATCGTTGGTTCTTCACGTGGTTCGTTGGGGTGGTTGAGTGGTTCTTCTCCTCGCTCCGAGGCCCCTATCAGTCTGACTCCCAGGGGCCATGAGAGGTCAAGACAGCACCTCTTTTAAACGCCGGCTCGGCCCTGCCTCCTTACTTAATTAAGTAGGCGGCTACTTAATTAAGAGAGAAGTTCGCTACTAGCTACTTAAACTACTACATATGTACCGACAGCTCACGCTTCTTCAAGGAAGCTTCCCCCGCCCGAGGGCGGGGGGGAGCTTCCTTGAAGAAGCGCTCGCACTATTCATTTGGTTCCTAGATTTTCAGGGAAACTTAATGTTTGGTATGTACAGATTAGGGGAGTCTATTTTTAACGAGCAAGCTCCGCGGAAACAAGGTCACTCTGTATGTGCGCTCCGAGGCTGATGGCGTGGAGGTGCTAACCTGCAGCTGCTTGTTGCGTCTTGCAACTCACAACGTCCAGTTTTGGGCCAGAGTCGCTACCTGTGCCTCTGCAGCCGAAAGCATACGCCCTGTCACCCCATCGACGTCTCAGCTGTGAAGGATTCGAACTAAGATGCCCTTTTGGTTTTTGGTCGGTAGTTCCACTGCCAGGCAGTCACTATCCAATTTGGGGTCAAAGAACGCCTACAGGACCCTTTCCAATTGATTAATGCCCACTCCCTCTTGAAGGTAAATAAATGCACATTGGTCCTGCCCAACAGTTTTAATTTGGTCTTGAGATTGCACCCTTGCACACCTGTGACTTGTGGCGTGCAACTGTCATGTTCTGCAGATTCCCACGGAATTTGTATTAGGTTGCCTGCAAAATTCTCCCAATGTCAAAACTCACTTTTTGCGGTTGCAGGGAAGGGTAAGATCCTTCGATTTGGAGTCTTTTCAATTGAGCTTTCAACTTTAGCGGTTTCCAGGGACACGTGGCAATGTGGCCCCCTCATATTGCAACAATTCTCCCTCTCTCTCTCTCTGGACCCTCGTTTGCTGTATTGATGAATTGGTTTGTGAAACATATACCCTATCCCCTTCCAAAAGAACTCACTCATGGATTCCATGGCTCTTTGTATCATTTTGGGATGGGCACTGCTTCCACTAGACTAGACCAGAAAAAGACAAACAAACGGACCGTGGGGGAGGGAATAGTGAGTGGAGATGACTGACATGAAAAGTGTTCTTTTGACATTTTGCGCAATGGATTTAGTCTCGAAATACAACAGCAGGCGTCGATCAAGACGTGGCAAGGCAAAAGCTTTCACGCACAGTGTTTCAGGAGGCCCTGCTTGAAATCACTTGGCGACCCGTCCGTGGTTAATGCAGCGGCCGAGTGTGTAAACTTCAACGACACAACTGTGCATGGCTCAAAACCGGTCCGGAACCCGGAAGATGCCAAAGGGACCAACAACATCCAACAACTCTGGACACGAAGTGTGTTTTGAGCCAAACACATGTGATCATGTGATCGTGATTCTTTAAGACGGATGTGCTGTGATTCTTTTGCAATCCCCTTCCTGCGGAAAGAGACTGATTCGGAGCTTGGCGCTACTTCCAAGCATAGTGATCCAATGGCTGTTCTGCAAAGTGGACTGAAAGGGATTGCAAAGCCGGGTGCCTTGCAGTCGCGCATTGGGACTTACACATACAGCCTGACACCTGGCGTCCTGGTCCTGACGGACGACCATTGCGAGCATCGGCAATCACAGGAAAGGTCCGGTGTATGAAGGCCTCCTTCGACAGAATCTCATCGAATTACACTCCTCAGAACTTACGAGGAAGCAAATCTCGGCGAGGACGCTGTTTACGAGGAAGTTGGTGACCATGTAAATCCCCCTGGGAATAGACCACAAACAGGTAAGCCCAATCAGCAAACGAGGAAGGCCAGAAAATGCAATGCTCACTACCGAGGAAGCCGAGCGCCCCTGCATCCCCGGGGATTGCTGGAAAATGACCAGGGAGATACACTTCCAGGTAAGCCAGGGTTGCTTTGCATTTTCATAGGTTGGGAGCTAACAAGGAAGAATACAAGCAAAATTACAACTTCTTGGTTAGGCTGCAAAGTGACTTCCTGGTTAGGTTGATTGGGACTTGCTTTAAAACACTTCCTGGTAAACCAAATGGCTGGGCGTGAATTCACAAATACCTGCTTTGATTAGAACAAACGAAGAAGCTCTCGAAGCCCTCAAGTGCAAGTCTAACGAGGAATTTAAAGAACCCTTCTCTCTCTCTCTCTCTCTCTCTTGATCCTGTTTAACGAGGAAGTTTACCAAATTATCACAAAAAAAATGGTAGGCTTCTTTGTTTACTAGATGCTTCTGGACATTCTAGTGTTTGCACTGACAAACGAGGAAGTCGAGCAAGTCTAGCAAGTTTAGCATGTCAAACTTACGAGGAAGAAGTCATTCCCAACACAAAAATATGACATGCAGACCCTCCAGTAAAATGCCAAACGAGGAATATGATAGGAAAACTACTTCCTCGTAAGTTCTGGAGAGAGTAATGGTGTTTCGCTCTGAAGAGCCCCGGCCGGACCACCCAGCATGTCCGAAAGTGACCTGCTAAAGAGCTTGTCGCTTACCTTGTAGCTTTTCGCGAAAGCGCACTGCGGGTGTACCACAGAGATTCGCTAGAGTACCCGCCCTGTACCTCGCGAAGAACCGGAGAAGCGGTCATCAACCTTGATGACCGGTTTTGCTGCGTGCCCTGGCTGCATCGTGTGGCAAGCAAAGTGAGTAGCGATAGGCCTGATGGTTTGTCAAAGGTTGGAGGTGGGTGCACTT